GTCACTCGCTCTGCTGCAGCGCGACAACCTGTAGGGACTCCTGCTGGTTAAATTCAGTTTATTGCTTGAGCTGCTGTCTGTGGCTTTTTGGCTGGTGTTGGTAGTGTTAGCATTACGGGCGCTGTGATGAGAGGTCCCAGGTGTGCAGGAAGTGCTGGCAGGTGATACGTTAGTTTGAACCTCGTGCTGGATGTCTGTGGGCCTCCCTGCAGGTAACGGTGGGTGAAATTTACTCGACTGTCTGGGGCTCTCGTCTCCCGTCCACGGCCTGGGTTTGCTCGGGCCGTTGGAGTGCAGTTTAGCGGCTGGATCTGCAGACCAGCAGCTGGTGTGGGCACACAGATGGTTGGAGGCAGGACTTCTGGGTAATCCGTTCACTGGACTACGGGAGAGGGTCCTGTCCAGTTCCATGAGCTGGGTCTTGCACGGCAGGGTGAGGGTGCTGCGGGGAAGGTCAGGTGAGCCCCCCCAGGTCTGGCAGCGAGAAGGCTGATACTGCCGAGGCAGGGAGGGGCTGCTGTTCTCAAATCGGTGACCTCCAAATCTGCGCTTAAGCTCTGGAGATCCAAACTCCTCAAGCGCCCTGTAGGTGGCGCCTCTGGCCACTGAGTCCAGGTTAGCTCTCTGCAGGTAAGGCGAGCCCCGTGGGGCTGGACTCTGAGCCGGGCAGGTGTGGCTCTGTGACAGGTAACCATTGTACGACATTGGATCGCTGAGCCTCTTCCGAAGGTGAGCGGGCAGCGCCTTCCTGCTTCCCATTTCCTTGAAAGGACTGTCCGGCTCATTATGAGACAGAGAACTTCGGCGGGCGGCCGTGTTGTGAACGTTTGCTTTCTCTATGTAGCTAAACGACACCACGGACTTCCTCCCCTCATTGCCCTCCACCCCTGGGACCTCGCAGTACCTGCGACCGCTGACTGGTGTGGAGGGCACAGTCAGCCTCCCAGAGGATGTTGATGATGGTGGGATAAACACCCTCCTCTGGTAGGGATCCATGTCTGAGGAACCGATGTGTCCAAGTGAGCCGTGGTGGCGTGGAACGGTCATTCCCGGTGTAAGGACTTCAAGTAACTGCCCAAAACTGTCATGCAGCGCATCTTCTTGAAGCTGGGCGTTCGACCGGAAGTTGCCCGACTGCCTGGAGGAGGTCTTTGAGAGAGGCAAGCTGTGGGTCTCGCCCCCCATGTGGTGCTGTATCGGAGAGAGATCCGGACTGGGGTTCCGGCTGGAGTAGGCGGAGCTCCTCTGAGAGTGAGGGAGAACATCTGGGCATTGAAGCATCAGATGACTGGAACCATCATCTCCTCGGCCCGGCACCTTACCTTCCTCCTCAGCAACAGACCTCACCTCGACGTACAGGTGGAGGACCTTACCGGCCTGGGACATGTCTGCCCTTCCTTTAAAACGCTCCAGTGCTCCCTGCTGTGGACCTGTGCTACAAGTCCAAAAGGTCCGTAGACTTGTTGGTGTCCAGCACAGAATTCATCGAGTCTTTGGTGAGGGCCAGGACGGGGGGACCAGGTCCATCCTGCAGCTGCACATCGTCTCTTCGACCTGCAGCAAGAAACACAGACAGAGTTCACAGTTAATATTCCAGTTTATCCTCAACAAGGGTTGAATCCATAAAGGTTTGATCATTTAAGCTTTGCTGTTTTAAACCTTCCAGTTCCTCAAGATATCAAATCATCACGTCACCCACTGGGCCGACCTCTGCAGGGTTTTGTTTAGGCATAAGCCGAACTCTTAGCTCCAAGTCTGGATTGGTCCACCGTGACCAAGTGGATGTTAAGAGGTTAATGACACCTAGCATTCCTAAAACTTGGAGACTGGGAAAAAAGATCTTTTCCAAACCAAGAAAATACAAACAAACTGAATTTGAGGCTTTTCCTGGGTGAATGCTTTGAGCATCGCAGAGTGATCATCATCAACAGGAAGTAGTTATTATGTAACTAAAACAGTTGCAGATGTCACTAGAAGCTACCATTCACATGGTTTTGACTGTACCGCATGAAATCTGCATGTAAAGTGTGACAGAAAGAGGTTTTCCACCCCACTAACTGCACAGCTTCAGGCTGATGATCCCGTTTGACCTCACGCTTCATCAGTTCTCACCCAATCCTGTATTTAGGTCACTCAGACTGGTTCACTGCTAGAAACCAAACACCTCATGTTTTAGTCATCAGAAGCAGAGCCCAGCCCCACAGTGTGGGTTAGGAAGGTGAATGTGTGGAAACTGGATGAGAACAGTCATGAAACTCTGTGTAAAAGCAGGATAAACCGAGTTTATTGTGATCTAATGTTGTTGTGTTGGAACAAAGTGGTCATGAAAGCAACCACGGGAACGCTGATGAGGTGTTCAGATCTGTGAACGAGTTTCAGACAATGTCAGGAAAAAACTCAGAGCGGGAAATTCTCTGATAACGCTCACACTTCTTTTTTAAAAAATATATTTAAACTTTATTTTCTTTTCCTTGAGATTAAAATGCATTTTTCCAAGAACGCCGGCCCACAAAAAGGAGACCCTGCAGAGAGCAACACAACAGGAGGTTTTATCAGCACGAAGCTCAGGGACAGAAATGAAAACAACGCTGTCAAAACAACAGCTCCTCCCTCCAGGGTGCACCAGCCGACTCCGAGGGAGACCGTCGCCAAACGCTCTTCAGGAGGTTCTGGGGGAACCTTGGAGGGGTTCTAGGTTCTGGCTCACAGTTTGGTTACAGAAGCACCAAATGTGGATTCGACCAGAACAGCTTTGCATGATTTGAGGTTCTGTATATCATACGCTGCCATAATTCAGCTCCTCAGATCATCCTCTGAAGTAGGCTGTTTAACCCCCACCCCACGTTTCAACAGCACATGGGCGGGGCTTCTGAAATTACCATATAGGGGGCATCCCCTCTGTATGATGTCATAAAGATCTAGAAGAAGAAAACCGCTGTGATAAACTGTTTACAGCAGTCACAGGATTACTGCTCGTGCACAGAGTGTTTGAATGTTTGAAGCGAAAAACTCGAAGTCTTAAAGTTTACATGTGCTTGTTTGGTCGGTTGGTGAGGACGATGTGAGGACGATGTGAGGACGATGTGAGGACGATGTGAGGACGATGTGAGGACGATGTGAGGACGATGTGAGGATGATGTGAGGACGATGTGAGGACGATGTGAGGACGATGTGAGGACGATGTGAGGACGATGTGAGGACGATGTGAGGACGATGTGAGGACGATGTGAGGATGATGTGCGTCGTTGTGACTGAACAGGAGCTGAGGGGTGAGGAGGCTCTGCGTGGCCTCAGGGAGATTTTGGGAGTGAAACCTTGGATCAAAGGGTGAGGAAGGTGTTTGTGCAGTGTGGCTCATTATCAGCTGAGACAGACAAGCTGCTGCCCTTCTCAGTTCTCTGGTATCTACATGTGCTCTCTTGCCCTTGGCCGTCCTCCAACGGGGCGGCAGGAGCGCGTGGGCGAGCAGGCTGCGACTGACACGTGAGTTCAGCTCGGCTATTAAAGGGAGGAGCAGCTTGACGGGTGTTCAGGTGAGGAGTCGGCAGCCACGCCGTGACCTCCGTGACCGCTCCTCCTGAGCGTGTCTGGAGGAACGTCTGCGCAGACCGGCGTGTTTTACACAGCCCGCTTCTTCCATCACGCTCCATTTAACCACCTCGCTGAGGCCGCTCGTGCTTCTATTCTCGGATTTGCACAGCTCCTATCTGTGTCGTCTCGCCTGTTCCACATTTTACAGTAAATCTGAGCTTCTGTGCTGCTCGCTGATGTAGGTCAGCCGTTTAGATCACGAGGAGAGGTCACATGAAAACACAAGAGGCTGCAGGAAACAGTGGCGTACAGGAGACGTTTGAGATGCTGATCAGGCGTGAGACGTGCTGAGCCGAGGGTCGAAAGGTCATTTCGGTCCCTTTCAGTGTCGTCGGCGTTCACCTGCAGCTCTGTCATCAGTAATTATGAAGCAGCCACAGCGGGCTCACACGCGTGTGCGTGTGCGTCCTTGCTGGCACGTGTGGGGGTGTGACACGTCTTAAAAACCAGTTTTGCTGGTTTCTGTCAGAGGAAATGACACGCACACACAAAGTGTTGCTGCTCTGATCTCGAGTAGATCCAGAACAAAGAACCTGAGCTTTGTTATTCTGCTGAGTGAACTTTAGAGCGTGCGCCACGGCGGCGTGCATGAGCAGCACGGCGGATGTAGAGCAGATGTTGGTGCTGAGATGCGAGTCAGTGCGCGTCTCCTCTCAGAAACAACAAGGCGACCTGTCGGCTCGTTTCTAGCTCCTACCGCAGCAGCTTAGCATGATTCATGGTTCAAAATAATCCTTCTTTGTCTTAACTCGGCGCTTCCTCGCCTCTCCTGGCTGCCCCTTACTAACCGCAGGTCTGAGAGCGGAGATTTATAAAAGCGGTGGCCTGCTACTTAAATCAGGCTGAACAGAAGCGTCCACGGTCAGAATGACCATGGCGCTCACTCAGAGGTCTGGTGGGAGGAGCCATCAGTGGAGCTGAGTGTTTTTAAGCCTCCTTTTAAAATGAGAACTTTAATCACATCTACATCTATACCTGCAGTTTAATGTCCTGCAGACCTCTGAGATGAATCTGTGGAAATTCCACAATGGCTACCAACTCAGTGGGTGAATCCTCCATACAAGATACCCACTCTCTATGACATCTCATAAACCCAGGAGTAGAAAAAAACTGAGCGTTCTGATCATTATTAAAACACGTTCACCACGAACAGGAAAACAGGACAAACTCATCAAATCCACATCAAACTGTAGAACAGGAAGACATTGCTCTGTGATGAACGGAGAGCAGGAAGGATGCTTTAGAACGAGGAGAGCGAGGAGAGCGACTCCGCGGCGTGATCAGCGGCATTTACAGCCATCAGAGGGTCAAACCTGCATCTGAGGCTGACGGGTCCAGCAGTGCTTTAATCAGATGTAAGTGCTGCCCTCCTCGGGTCAGCGATCAAAAATCGTATTTTATGTCACACTCAGGTCCCGTGTTTCCTACCGACGTGTTCACGTCCACAGAGAAGCGACGGCGCTGTAACGATCAACACATTAATAACAATCTGATCGGCAGTTCGTCCTTATTGTGACGGCGTTTCTGTAACAAACTGCTACTCTCGTCTTTACTACGAGCATCAGCTCCAAATAATCCTGACACCCGAGCGATGTAACCTGCTACAGGACGCCGCGGCAGGTTTTGCTTCGAAGCGCGATCAAAGGGCGCTTTGTCTTTCCTGCAGAGGAACATCAGAGAGCTGCTTAAGTGCCCCAAACTGCTCTAAGCAGCTCGGCCTTTATTGAATCTGACTCCTCTGCTGTTCACACATCAGTCCTCATCACCGTCACAGACCACTTTCATCACCTCCAGCACCGGACGAATCCGGTGAGACGGGTTACGCTGTGAAATCTGCAGCTCCTCTAACGTCCACCTGAAGAAATCAGCCAATCCGATTTTCTTTCCTTCTCAGCAGAAATCAAGCTGAAGCCTCGTCTCTGCACTACAGCAGCTTCAAGATAATCAGCTTCCTGTGCTGAACAGAAACACTGGATCATCCCTCCAAACCTGCTTCATGCAGGTGTGACCAGGGCAGGTACACAACTTGTGCCAAACCTGCAGTTCCTCTGAGGTCCAGCAGAGGCAGCAGTGAGTCCGTCCCCACAGACCTTCACAGCAGACATAAACATGACTGTGTGTGGGTCATTTCCTCCTTCATCACAGCTGTACGAGGGGAGGATGTTTTCATAGCTCACCTGGATTAAAGTCTGTGTTGTTAGGGGCGTGGCCTCTTTGACTGACAGGTGGACGGCACCACAGGCGGCCATAGCTCTCAGCCGTCTATTCGGCTTCACCTCAGCTAATTTTTATCTTATCCAGCCAATAGCATGGCTGCTGTGAGGCAGATGTACTAACACTTTCTGAGGAGGCGGAGCTTCAGGTTTGTGAGTGAAGCTGAGGTCACAGTGAGAGGAGCCCACTGTTCTCCGACTCGCTGACCTGGACACACATGAGGACATAAACACTGAAGTTCAAACGACGCATGGAGCGAGGCGCTCACGCTGACGCCGTCACTGAGAAGGTCTCTGAGCTGCAGGTCTGCAAACTGCTGCTGTCGTCTCCTCTGTGGAGTCCTTTTCCAGACGCCTGGCTCGCATTTAGCAGCTGCAAAGTTTTATATCTGCAGCGAATTAAAAGCAGAACGTGACTTTGACTCCTGCAGCTGCTCGAGCGCCCGACACGTCGCCGGCTCTCAGCTGGAACGACTTGAAGCGCATGCGAGTCTTTCCTCACTGACTGCGATCCTCAGCCTGAGCTCTCCGGTCAAAGGTCAGAGGAGGTAAAAGAGGCTCCGAGCGTTGCTTCCTGCTGTCGTTGACAAAAGTCTGGCTGCAGAGGAAACAAAGCAGCAGCAGCTCCTGAACTCTGACCTCAGTTTACAGCTGCTGCACTGCCGATCCTCGCTCACAGAGATAACCGAGAGCAAAGGACGAGGGTCAGGGGTCGACTTTGTTCTGCTTCTCTAACTGCAGCCGTGTGTTAAACTGCTGCTGTGCACCGATCAATAATTATTGATAAGGATTTGTCTGTTTCACCTGTTCGTGGTCCAACTTTGACTTCCTGATTCCACATATTTGAATAATCACTTTGCTTTCAAACCGTTTTGGTGATTTTATTATCGCCCCCTCGCTTTTATATAACGGCCACTCAAAGGGGCCCCAACCTCACTTTTAGCAGCCAAGCAAATGGCTTTCATGGTTTGGTTTTATAGTTTCTACACCAGACGACTGGAAACGACTTTGTTTCTCAGGCCTGTTCAAATGAGCCACACAGAGCTGTGCAAAAGTCTTGAGCCACCCTCAGGCTCTGCTGAGCAGCTCTTGAGCTTCCTGAAGCTCCTTAAAGTTCTTCTGTGGCTGCTCTTCCTCTCCTGTTCAGTCCTTGTACCGGACCTTCCTCACAGGAATGTGACAGTGACAGTGACTCCCACACACCTGAGCAGAGGTGCAGTTAGTTAGCATCAGCTGTCACACAAACTCATCATCTGTTCCAGTTTCTTTACCAAATCTGTCAAAAATGCCAACGATATCACAGCTTCTCATGAAAACAGCATTTTGTCTCCAACACGGTGATTCCAAAGAGCTGTCAGCTGAAACTCTGCACATCTCAGCGTGGTGTCAGTGTGTCCTCAAAACCCTGAGGAAAGTGGACAGAAGAAGAAGTGGGAGGCCATAAAACTCGACAGCAGCTGAACAGGACCTGAGAGATGATCTGGACCTTCAGCCGATCGAGAAGCCGTTCTTAATGAAGGCAACCTGGAGTCTGCAGCCATCTGTGAAGCTGGTGGAGGCTCTGTCATGGTTTCAGCTGCAGCTCAGTCAGAGCTGTTGGAGATCTTTGATAAACTGATGAATCACAGAGTCTGATCCACCACGCAGGAACATCTGGAAACATCTGACTGACAGCAGCTTCCTGTTCCAGCATGACAACGATGCAAACACACTGTCAGTGCAGTGAAAGCACACCTGGATCTGACAACACACAGCAGGACACCATCAGTCACGGATGGCAGAGCCGCCCTCAGCTGAGGAGACGTCTTCCTGAGGAGACGTCTTCCTGAGGAGACGTCTTCCTGAGGATCCTCACAGAGCTGACAGACAGCTGCTCGCACTGAAGCTTGTTCGTGTCTGCATTGTGCAGTTCATGTCTGTTTGCAGCTTAATAAATCTTATTATATGTTAAAGTTCACAGAAGTTTCAAACTGTTTGAAGCCACCATACTTTGAGCTGCTGTTCTTCCTCCGAGTCACTCGGATCCAGAACAAGCTGGATCTAAACCAAAGTCTCGCGATTACACGAACTAATCGACCAACCGAGGAAGCTTCTGTCCGCTGGGAGCTAAAGTCTCCTGATAACTGCAGCAGCTCCTTAAAATATGACCTTTGAAATGATTTTTTGGACTCTACGTGGACGAGAGCGTCCAATAATCGTGTCTTACATGCTGCTGTGGTACAAACTGCCTTTGTTTGTGTTCAGACTGAGCTCTCCTCCCAGAGGTAACCACCAAGTACTTTTACTTGTTTCAGAGTATTTTTACATAGTTTTACTGCAGTGAGAGGTCAGAGTACTTCATACCTGAGATATAAAGAGTGTGAGATACATGTGTGTGTGTGTGTGTGTGTGTGTGTGTGTGATAAGCACTCTTAGTCCTTCTTTTCCTGGACTCTGCTAATAGGATTCCCTCCTCCTCCTCCCACCACACACAGCTCATCCACCACATAAAACCACACGTACACACACACGCCTGCCGCTGTAACCTTACCTGTGTGTCCTCGCTGCGGCAGTTGCCGTGGTAACCCGCCTCTCTGCGTGCTACAGCTGGTTTTATCCTCCTTCGGCCTCCTCTTCCTCTCTGAACACTTGTTGTCTGCAGCAGCGCCGGCTCATCGTGGATTTACAGACTGCGCTCAGCTCCTCCTCTTCCTCGTCTTCCTCCACCTCTACTTCCCCTCTCTTGTAATCAGCTGACGCCCCGCCTACCCCTCCTCCTTCCAGACAGTCTGCCAGCCAATCGGGCGCTCCGCCGTCTGCAGACCCGGCTCCTTCACAGCCAATGACGGGCAGCTGTGACAGATGGCAGCTTAGGAAAGGTGGGGGGAGCGCGGGGAGCGGGGGGTGTCCAGTATCAGGATAATGTGCAGAATTACAGGCTGATTAAACTGTGATGTCACGCGTCACTGCAGCGGGACCGGCCCCCAGCCTGTGACCTCATCACTCTGTGCGTTACATCAGCATACACCTGTAGCTGCTCCACAGGGGGCGCTCTTCTGACAGTGACCGCGTGACGTGCGGCGTGCGTCTCCCCGTGCCGTGCTCTCAGCACAAACACACATCAAGCTTTTACACATTCGTGGCCTGTTTGAGCTGGAACACGTCTTTCACTCCTGCCGACCCCTCCAGAGACGAGGACGTTACTCGCAGCTGGGAAACAACAAGCAGAAGGTTACAGATTCACTCAAAATAATCTGACCCAAGCTGCACGGGTCCTCTTACCTGTGTCACAGCTGCTGGTCGGCTCCACCCTGGATCCAGCTTCAGGATGAAGAATATCCCAAACTCACAAAAATATACACTTGTCTTTTCCTGTTATCATTCATCATTTTTAATCTGCCGTTTCCTGAAACCTTCTCGAGGTGCCGACGCCTTTTGTAACAGCTGAAATTATAGGTTCAATTATAAGTTAAACATGAGTTTTTGCAGTATTAGTTGCTTTTGCGTGTACTTGAGCGCAGCAGGACTACAGTGATCAGTCTGCTCCTCCTGTTGTCTGATATCAGCGAGTCCGGTGTGTTACGTGCTCGTTCTTGTAGACCTGAGCATCGTCTCTGCCTCCGCTTAGACCGACAGCAGTGTAATCGTTTTCTCCTGTGAAGCACGCCGTCCTCCAAGAGCTCACTTTCAGAGGAACTTGTTTATTATCGTGCAGGATGGTTTCTGGCTGGGTGGTCTCGGGATTTGGTCTTGCCTTGCTCTGCGGTGTTTTGCAGCTCAATGCGAAGCAGCTGTAACGAGAAGGAGAACCTCCGAGTCCTCAGCTGCCTGTTTGGGAGCATCTCTGGGTTCTGCTCGTGGGTGAGGGAACAGCTGAGCAGACAGACTCGTACAGCCATGACCAGCTACTCGTTGAACCACGTTCCTACCCTGATCTATGACCACGGGCTTAGGGTGGTGACAGAAGGACGGGTGTCAGAAATGAGCTTCTTCTGAGGGGCGGAGCCAGGATGTGCAGCTCAGTCCTCCACGTCTGAAGGACCCAGCTGAGGTGGTTCATCTGACCAGGCTGCCACGTGCTTAGACTACTGCTGACCAGGATACACAGGACATTCGTTGCTATGCTGACGACACGCTGCTGTACCTTTAAGCCCCGTCATCGTCCCGTGGACTCATTAGTGCCTCGTCAGCTGTCCCACACCTCCTTCACTCCAAACGTTCTCTCGTTTCAATAAATTCACTCTCATGAAAATAAAAATCTAACCTTAGGTCAGTGATTCTCACTGTGGGCTCCTAAAATTACTGCCTGTGGGCCACAATGAGTCACTTACAACATTATTATTTTCTCATAAATCTTTAAAAACTATCAGTAGAAATGTAACATTTTAAAAGTTGCAGATTTTTACATTTTACATAACTTCATCATTCAGAATAAAGTCATGCTGAAGATGCACGTCTGGTTTTTACAGGTAAAATGAAATGTTTGGATACAAGAATCGCTTCTAAGATTAATTCAGTTTATCTGTTGAAGGGGAAGAAGCTGAATGAGGCTGGAGATGTCCGGGCTGCTTAAAGGCTTTCTAACTCTCGCGTATAATAATAATAATAATAATAATAATAATAATAATAATAATCACAGCTGTTCTATCCTGATATCAGTGATCATGATGAGGCCTGCTGTGTGCTGGATTACTTTAAAAAGCGTTAAGCTAATAATTTCACGCTGAAGTAAAGACGTGAAACGTGTGTAAAGAGTTCCTGCTTTTATTTGTGAGATGAAACGAGAAGCATCAAAGAGAAACTGGAAATAACTCGTGCAGTTTGCAGGGATGAAACGCAGGAACGACAAAAAGCACGCAACAACTTCAGAAATGACCTCATCGTGTTCGAGTCTTCCACTTTCACGAACACTGTTTGGGTTTGTTAGCAGCTTCAAGGCGAGCACTGACAGCCTGAACACTGTTCGCCTGTCCACATCCACGCGGATAAACACGGGACTCGCTGCAGTTTCTCTTTAAATGACCTCAAATCTAATCCACACAACTTAAACATGCTCGCTGGGACTTTATTTGACAGCAAGAAGCCTTTTCAAGAACAAAGGGTCGGTTTTTGCTGCTTTTTTAGAGCTCTGATTCCGGCTGTTGTCGGCTGCAGCCCGAACTCCTTTCAGAAATGTGTGTTTTTACCACTCCCCCCCAGTAAAATCCACACTTCACATCCCTGCGTGTCATACTAAACCTTTCATTTACATCACAGGCAGACATTTTCATGTCCGGCATGCACTTAATCGACTCAGCAGCCCTGAATGATCTGAAATGTCGACTTTTCCAAGAGCCTGGCATCGCTGTTGGCACCGCTCGGCAGGGTGGACCATCCTTATGAAGAGGTGCGGGGAGGGTTGTAAAAGTAGAAATGTGACTGAGGGAAACACTGTTTGTGGGGTCAAACGTACCCCGGAATAATGGGCAGGTGCTGCTGCCCCGGGGGCAGACCCCCAGCTTTGTTCTCCCGCTTGTTAAATTTCATTCATGAGGGAATCATCTTAAAATGTCATGTTTTTCAAAGGAGATTCGCACGCAGTCCACTTACCTCCGGGATACGATGGGATGCAGCGGGGTCTGCAGCTTTCAGAGACCCCTGCGGCAGCTCGGCGGCACCGCGGCGGACTCCGGGTCACCCGCTCGCTCCATTTCACGGTAACGCTGTCTGTAACGACAGATGTAACGGCGTAGTGCGGGAGTAGTAACTGTAACGGCTAGCTAAGTGAACTAGGTTCCATGGCGGAAGCAGTGAAAGTCCAATCGGAGGTGAAGAGTCCGCTCGGCTCCTTGTTCTCGCGCTTCCGCCGCTCTTTGCTCGCTTTTTCAGCCGCTTGCTTGACATTAGTTTACGTTCTCCACGGTGACTCCAACTTCCGCATCTTTGGTGACGTAACGGGTCGTAGAGCTACGTCAGACAGGCCCGAGCGGAAGACACGCCTACAACCGATTACACGTACGCTTAACCTTCAAAATAAAAGCTCGAATAGACTGTGTTTATCCTGCTGCTTTTAGACTTGTGAATGTTTTCTTCTTTATTCTGTTTAATATGAATCCTAAAATTATTTGTCAGACGTTTGTCTCATGTAAAAACAAGTTTTTATCTTTCACCTCTAAAATTACTTCTTTTAATAATAAAAATGTTTCCTAAAAAAAACCTGGGACAGGTAGACCTTTGTATGTCAGCATATTCATAACTGAAACCTAGTGTCCTGGGATCCGCTGGGATCCGCTGGGATAACGTTCCTGAACCTGTTTCCACGTCACACAGCGCTGCTCAGGTGTCCCAGCAGTGCCTCTATTTCCTCTGAAGATACTTATTATTTAGACGGAGGAATACTCACACGTGGAGCATCGGCTTTTTACCGGAACACTCACACCAATGTGAACTCTCCGTAGCATTACAGGAAGCATAATTTCAAAATAAATTTCCAACAGATGACAATGAAGGCATACCTATTAACTAGCCCAACATCTAACAAATCAGACAAATAAACAGGTGCGGGACCATTTAGAGATTTAAAAACCAATAAAAGGACTTTAAAACGGATCCTAGATTTAATTGGAAGCCGATGTAAAGAGGCCAAAACCGGAGTCATGTGGTAGAATTTCCTTCTGCCAGTTAAACATCATGCCGCGGCATTTTGCACTAGTTGCAAGCGTGACAAAGTGCCCTGCCCAACCCTTATTAAAAGAGAATTGCAATAATCCAAACGTGAAGTAATAAAGGCGCGAATAACACTTTCCAAGTCCCGCTTGGAAAGAAAGGGCTTAACCTTTGTTAAACGTCTGAGGTGACAGAATGCTGATTTCACCACCGCGTTTACGTGACCATCAAAGGTAAGTGCAGAATCAATCTACTCCGAGATTTGTGATCGAACTCTTTAAATGTAAAGTCATAGCGGGAAGATCAACATCTGGAGCGTCAGAAAAACGGTTTGGAACAAATAGGATCGCTTCCGTCTTACGATTATTAAAATGTATAAAGTTTTTTGCCATCAATAAATAAATCGATCACAGGCTGATCACAGCCGGCTTCTGCTGATTCCTCCCTGTCTTCTGTCCCAGCAGAGAAATGACGCCCTCTGCTGGGAGGAAGAAGAAACTGCAGCAGTGACTGCGCTCATGCAGCACAACAGGCTGCTTTTCAGATGAAAACGTTCCCTCTTGATGAAGCATGTAGTTAGGGCTGGACAGGTCAGCTAAAGCTTCAGCAGATGATGGGCTGCTGACTCTGGAAGACTTAGCAGGTTGTAGTTTCTAAAACGCTCGGCCCCGTGGCAGAGGAATATGAACCACTTCCAGAGTTTGGCCCGGAGAAGAATCCGTACAAACCATAAGGATCAGTTTTCACTGGGAGCGCGTCCTGAGCAAAGACAGCAAACAGTTGACCCAAATCAGAGCCCTCGTGACCTTCTACACGAGGGTTGGAGCCTCATGTGGAGCCCCAGTGTGGGCACACCACCATTCAGCTGTGTTCTCCCAGTGCACACACACTCTTAGTGTGGGCCGCCCTACTGGGGCTCCACATCTCCCACTGGGGCCACATGTGTCTCATGGTACATGGTACCAGTAACTGGTATGGAAGAAAAAACTCAGCCCAGACAAGTTAGTCGGTGCTAGAAAATGGAAAGTTACACATCGTAGCCACAGTAGATCATTTCTAATATTTCACAGAGTGACTGTTGTGCAGCTGTAGGAAGTGCAGCTCTGAACCACAGATAGGAATCATCTGTCATTTGATAAGAAGTCAGTGTTTTTTCTTCCTTCCTCATAAATTCTTCAGAAAGTGTGTGAAATACAAGAAGTAACACAGATGACCTTTGACACTGCTGACACATCTGTACATAGACCACTGAAAATCCTTCACACTCTAGATTTGAGTAAAGTGGAGGGTTGGTCTGAAATGAAGATAAAATGTAATAAATTTTAACTTTCATCAAAAATCTACAGTTGGTCTAAACGCAGTGGCAGCGTGTTTGTAGTCTCAGCACCACGCTGCATTTAAACTCACACCATCTGTTTCACATCGACTGTTACAGCTGATGTTCTGCACAGTTCGTTTTCACAGGCTCAGAGGACAGCTGCACAGCTTACAGATGTTTCCTCATTATTTCATAACAGACTACACAACGCCCTCGGCGGCTGGTCCAGGCGGTTCCTCAGAGCGAGGTGGTGCGCGGGGGGGGTGTACTGTTCACACTAACTCACACTCGCTCTGAGATGAGAAGAAGGGAGGAACCATCAAGTGTCTGATGGCTCCTGATGGCTCTCTCACCTAGACCCCCCTCTGCTGGACATCACTCAGTGACGCTTCAAAGACTGATGAAGAGTTATTATGTTATAGAGAGTTTGTCATATTTTATTCTGAAGGGCTTCCTGTTTATAATCCTGTAGTGTCTCACTGTATGAAATATATTAATCTGCTCAGTGCCATCAGTGTAAGGAAGTATTACCCAGTATGATTTGGATTGTAGCTTGTACAGCACTTCAGGAGCATCTTTGCACCTTAAGCATAGATTTGCACATCAATAACATTTGCACACAAGAGGTTTAATTATTTCTTCAATATTTATTGAGTATTTTACTAATTAGCAGGTAGCCTTTTGTTCCTGCACAGCTGCTCCTCGTCAAGAAATGTGGTGGTTGTCTGTGAGGAGGAAAGAATGATGAGGTCTACCATTAAGGAAAATGTGTGTGCAAAGTCCAGAGCAGGGGTGTCCAACTCCAGGCCGCGAGGGTGGTGTCCTGCAGGGTTTAGGTCTCACTCTGGGTCAGCACACCTGAATCACATGATGAGTTCTTTACCAGCCCTCTGGAGAACTTCAGGACATGTTGAGGTCATTTAGCCATTTGAATCAGCTGTGTTGGATCATGGACACTGGCCCTCGAGGCCTGGGGTTTGAGACCCCTGGTGCTCTCGTGCTCGTGGTGCATTTGGATGTAATTAGAGTGAATTAGCAGGTTTATGACCCTGAGTGTTGCTGAGGTCATCAGGTGAGCCTCTGTGATTGGATGAAACCAGAGGAGTTGCCTCGAGTC